TACTTAAAGGTGGGTCTAGGACCAATATTTCGCGGCGTTACAAACATTTGGGGCTGCACAATGATATAATACTCTGACAATATAGTTGCGTAGGGTATAAAAATATAATACCCTGTACCAAAGTGTGGTGAAGGGTATAAAAAGTTACGCCTATATGGAGAAGTATTCTTTGAAATATCCATTAAATTCACGCCTATATGGCCCATGGAAAAATATACACACATATATGGACCTGGGAAACAAATTCTTTAAAAAAGTCCACGCCTTGGAAAAATATTCATTAAAGTAATCCAGGCCTTGGAAAAATATTCTTAAAAAAATCCAGGCGCTGGAAAAATATTCTTTAAAAAATCCACGCCTTGAAAAAATATTCTTAAAAAATCCAAGCCTTTGAAAATATTCATAAAAAAATTCACGCTTTGGACAAACATTCTTTAAAAAAATCCACGCCTTGGAAAAATATTCTTTAAAAAAGCTACGCCTTGGAAAAATTTTGTTTAAAGAAATGCAATCCTATATGGGCCTTGGAAATTTTTTCTTTAATATATCCACGTATATATATGGCTCTTGAAAATGGGCATAGTTCCTTATTGTTCACACATTTTTTGAATTGTTCCCACACCATATTCTCCTTATGGTCACCTTTGAGCCCAAGTCTATGAAATTTTCACTACAAACCAAAAGAACTTATCAAAATATAGATTACAAATATGGACGAATTGTAAGACATATTAAATTAGATTCTCAAGATAATTTTAATGAAGAATTTTTATTTTGGACACACTTCATTACAACAACATTAACAATATCAATACATTTTTTTAATTTCCTTTACTAATCATTGTTTTGTGGATTCGATTATCTTTCTTTTTGTTTACTTTTGCATTTTGCACGCCAAACATAAAACCACTCAAACAGAAATCGGGCTATGATTTACAATCTCTGTTTGTTGTTGTTGTTGTTGTTAAAACAAACAAATAAATGACCAGCCATATAAACAATTAATAGCCCTCGAACGCAGCTGATTGACCGACCATTGAACAAAAATAGATTTCATCAAACGATAAGACTTTGATACGGTGGCGGTGAGAACTGACTTTGTTGTTTGTGTAAACCTTTTTAGTTGGACATTGGCTGACGGATTGTCTATAACGGCCAATAACTTCTAATTTAGCTAATCCAAAAAATAAATATTATTTGACATTTGAGAAATTTATATTAATTAGAAAATAAGTGGCACTTCATTTTTAATTTATTTTGGGTTAAATATATATTGGATCGGCATATTTTCTATATATTTTGTTTGCTATCAGTTTGAGATAATTTCAATAAGGAATTTACTGAGTAATTTTTTTGATTTATTTGTTAATACCTTAAATAGAGTGTTGTTATTGCGTAATAACAATTTAAAGAATATTTTTTCAAGGACCAGAACAAGGCGTGGATTTTTAAGGAATATTTTTTCAAGAACCACATGAAGGCGTAGATTTTTAAAGAATATTTTTTTCATAGACCACATCAAGGCGTGGATTTTTAAAGAATATTTTTTCAAGAACCACATCAAGGCGTGGATTTTTAAAAAAAATATTTTTTCATTAACATCAAGGCGTGGATTTTTTTCAAGGCGTGGATTTTTAAAGAATATTTTTTCAAGGACCACATCAAGGCGTGGATTTTTAAAGAATATTTTTTCAAGGACCACATCAAGGCGTGGATTTTTAAAGAATATTTTTTCAAGGACCACATCAAGGCGTGGATTTTTAAAGAATATTTTTTCAAGGACCACATCAAGGCGTGGATTTTTAAAGAATATTTTTTTCAAGGACCACATCAAGGCGTGGATTTTTAAAGAATATTTTTTCAAGGACCACATCAAGGCGTGGATTTTTAAAGAATATTTTTTCAAGGACCACATCAAGGCGTGGATTTTTAAAGAATATTTTTTCAAGGACCACATCAAGGCGTGGATTTTTAAAGAATATTTTTTCAAGGACCACATCAAGGCGTGGATTTTTAAAGAATATTTTTTCAAGGACCACATCAAGGCGTGGATTTTTAAAGAATATTTTTTCAAGGACCACATCAAGGCGTGGATTTTTAAAGAATATTTTTTCAAGGACCACATCAAGGCGTGGATTTTTAAAGAATATTTTTTCAAGGACCACATCAAGGCGTGGATTTTTAAAGAATATTTTTTCAAGGACCACATCAAGGCGTGGATTTTTAAAGAATATTTTTTCAAGGACCACATCAAGGCGTGGATTTTTAAAGAATATTTTTTCAAGGACCACATCAAGGCGTGGATTTTTAAAGAATATTTTTTCAAGGACCACATCAAGGCGTGGATTTTTAAAGAATATTTTTTCAAGGACCACATCAAGGCGTGGATTTTTAAAGAATATTTTTTCAAGGACCACATCAAAGCGTGGATTGTTAAAGAATATTTTTTCAAGGACCACATCAAAGCGTGGATTGTTAAAGAATATTTTTTCAAGGACCACATCAAGGCGTGGATTTTTAAAGAAACAGCAGTATACTTGTCAATTTGGGCCATTTCATTCAGGACATCATCAACCATACCTTCATAGTTAATGGGTGGTTGATTAATTGTACAGGCATTGACGGCAACCAAGTAGCTTTCATTTTGAATTGTTTGGTCAGTGGCTCTTTAGCAATGTGGGCCGTTTTTTATGAAGGAGCGGAATGTGTCATTTTGTTATTATTTTTGCATTCCTATCTTAATGTAGGACGTTATTTTAGGGTTTCTATGCTATGCAGCTGCATTTTGTAGCGATAATCGAAAATTTTGATTATTTTTAACTGATATATAAACGTATCAATCAATTCATTTTGATATTTTTGACTCGATGTTTATACCCTTCACCACTCTGTGGTACAGGGTATTATGTCTTTGTACATATGTGTGTAACAGGCAAAAATAATTGAGATAGACCCATGGTTCCTTTTGAGAATATGTATAGAATCACTTTCTGAGTCGATTTATGTATGTCCGTCTGTCCTTCCATGTATTTTTGTTAACAAAGTGCAGGTCGCATTTATGATCCGATTTGGATGAAATTGATTGGCCCAAGGACGAACCCTATTGAAATTGGAGAAAAAACGGTTCAGATTTAGATATAGCTCCCATATATATTTTCGTTCGATTTTATGTAAATGGTGCACCAATGTCCCTTTATATCATTCGATTTACACGAAATTTGGTATAGCGAACTAAATTGAGTATATAATGATATGTGCGAAGTTTCGCACAAATCGGTTTAGATTAGGATATAGCTCCCATATATATTTTCGTCCGATTTTATGTAAATGGTGCACCAATGCCCCTATATATCAGGGGCATTGGTGGCACAGCGTAATGAATTAGGTATAGAATGATGTGTGTTAAGATTCGTGAAAATCGGTTCAGATTTGTTTTGTCCGATATATAGTTTCGTCCGATTTTATGTAAATGGTGCACCAATGTCCCTATATATCATTCGATTTACACGAAATTTGGTACAGCCTACTGAATTGAGTGTAGAATGACGTGTGTTAAGTTTCGTGGAAATCGGTTCAGATTCAGATATAGCCCGATTTTATGTAAATGGTGCACCAAAGTCCCTATATATCATTCGATTTACACGAAATTTGGCACAGCGTACTGAATTAAGTCTAGAACGATTCGGTTTAAATTTCGTGAAAATCTGTTCAGATTTAGATATAGCTCCCATATATATTTTCGTCCGATTTTAGGTAAATAGTGTACCAAAGTCCCTATATAACCTTCAATTTGCACGAAATTTTACATAGCGTACTGTAGTGAGTCCGGAACGATGTGTGTTAAATTTTGTGAAAATCTGTTTTGAACACTTTGACTTCGTCCATTAATATATTTTCGTCCGATTTAATGTAAATTGTGCACTAAAGACTAAAAGTTTGGCCGTCTGCCACACAATGTACAATGTACTGAAGTTACTATAACCTTTCGTGTATCAAGTTTTCTTGAAATCGGTTCAGATTTACATATTGCTCCTATATATACTTTCGTTTTAAGTAAATGATGCACTTAAGACCCAAAGCTAGGCCGATTGACACAACGTACTGAAATTAGTATAAATTAATCTCTGGCAAGTCTATTTACAAAATTAGGATAAGTTGCAGAATGGCATGTGTTGGGATTGATGTTAGTCGGTTTACTTATAGATAAAGATCATGTCAATGTTCCTTCCTTCAATTTCATGTCAATGTTCCTTCGAATATACCCAAAGTGGTTAAGGATATCATATAGTCGGCCCAGTCCGACTATACTACTTTCCTTACTGGCTTTTAATGACTGTATGTCTAAAGACCAAGCCACCTGAAGATGCGGCATCAATAAATATAAAGTCTAATTTTATACGACGGATTTCTAAAGATTAGGTTCCAAGGGTCGTCAGAATTTTCCGACATGTTTTTTTGTGGATCCTTTAAGTGGCGGGTTTTAAAGGATCGAAAATTAAGGGACATACCATATAAGCGTGGTTTTTTAAGTAATTTATTTATTAAAAGGAGCATTGAGGGGATTTAAAAAAATATTTTTATCAAAGCGGTGATTTCTAAAAATATATTTTTAGGATCCCCATATCCTATAAGCTTGGATTTTTTTAAAAATATATATTTTAAGGATAATAGGCCCTATATGTTTGAATGTTTTGTATAGTTTTTGTTACAAATATGTATTGTTTCAAAATATTTTGATTTGCGTTAATATTAATCGAACATATTGAAAATACGATTAAAGAACTTAAAACGCTTGTAAATCAGTTAAATGTATTCAAATTTTAAAATTTGATTACTTATCAGCTTACGATAATCTCATCATAATACGCGTCTACAGTTATGTGCTTATCTTTCAAAAAAATAACAATACAACCCTTTCCTGAACTCCATTTCATCTGATAGTGAAATTGGTATAAAAACTACCAACATTTGCCAGTAGACATCAGTACTCTCTCCTAACTAAATCAAAATGAAAGCTATTTTCGCAATTTTCGCCTTGTGCTTGGTTGCCGCCAATGCCGGTACCATCGCCCAACCTCCCGTCAACTATGAAGGCATGGTTGATGATGTCTTGAACGAAATGGCCCAACTTGCCAAGGATACTGCTGTTGCCTTGCAACATGCCGTTGAAGAAATCGTTTTGGATCCTTTGCAACAAGTCGAAGAAGCCGTTGAAAGCATTGAAGCTCTCCGTGTCGAAAGCGAGGAATGTGTTGCTGCTGAGGAGGATAAGGTCACCGCCACCGTTGATGCCATGCACCGTGATATGGGTGTCTGTGGTGTTAATGCTGCCAAGGAATCGGCTGATATCATGACCGACATCAGTGCTGCCACCCAACAATTGATCTTCGGTGGTTATGATGTCATCAGCACCTATCAGAAGTGTCAAAAATACAAAAATCAAATCTTGAAGAAGACATGCTATGCCAATTTGACCGTCAAGGCTACTTTGTACTTGAACAGCTCTCGCAAATCCATCAGAACCATTCGTGAAAGCACTAGTGTCCGTATTCCAGCTATGGCTAATGATGCTGATCTCTGTACTCATGGCGCTGCTGATGTCGCCATCCAACAATTGAACACCATTGAGGCCACCGTTAATGCTTGCATTGGCAAATACTAAATTTTCTTGCGAAATATGTGAATAAATATCCGACTATATAAGATTTAAAGTTTTGTAGTTTTTTTGGAGATATTTTTTAAAAGGCATTAGGAAGGGTTTGTTTAAGATTGTGGATTTCGAAATAATATTTGGGAGGACATTAAATTAAGGACCATTATGAGGGGGATATGTCAAAAAATATTCAATTCAAGTACCATTAAGGCGTTGGTTTTTAAAGACTAGTTAATTCAGAGACCAAAACAACGTGTGAACTCTTCGAAGAATATTGTTTTAGGGACTAATACAATCGGAGATAAAAAAATTATTAGTGACCATTAAAGCGTGGATTTCAAAGAATATTTTTTCAGGGACCACAACAAGGCGTGGTTTCTCAAAGAATATTTTTTCAGGGACCCGTAAGTTGTAGATTTTTTTTTAATAAAATTTTCCAAGACCTTTATGGCGTGAATATTTTATGGAATATTTAAATAAGGCATCTTTAATGCGCGGATTTTTATACCCTACACAACTATGTTGTCAGGGTATTATAGCTTTGTGCAGCCCCAAGAGTATACCGATCGTCATATCTCGATTAGCTGAGTCGATCTAGACATGTGTGTCCGTCCGTCAGTCCGTCTGTCCATTATATTTTGTAAACACGATACAGGTCACAGTTATGGACCAATCTTTACGAAATTTTGCGTGTAGGACCTGTTCTGGCCAATGGCCATTGTTTTTGGTAAAAATCGGTTAATATTTAGGGGATGTAATGGACCAAATACTTAATTTTTGTCGGTTTTTCTGATCGTTCCACAGGTCGCAATTATGGCCCAAACATCGCAAATTTTTACATGGAGAAGGGGATCAGGTCAAAGAATAAGCGTGCCTGTTTTGATAAAGATCTGTCAATATTTAGCGGGTCAAATGGACGCTGACTTTTGTGTGAAAAATGACAAAATTTGTATTCTATGGCGTATATATTTACCCCTGGAGGACATAGACCCGAGTAGTTGTTAGTATATCCAAGAGAAGTGGTTGGCCTTCAAATTGATACCAATTATATTGTCGTATGTACTCGGATGTGGGAGTTACACTTAAATATTTACAGGTGCTTACGTATTAATATATCATTTAGTAACCCATTACCACACTAGAGGGCGAAAATATAGCGCGGAACGCTTTGAAATTTCCTATGAGGATCCTGGTATGGTCAAGGACAACGACAATAATTTTCGGTGGTTATCAGATAATAATATTGGGATGAAGTGAACCGAAAACTTATTTTTTGTGTTATTTTTCGAGTCGATCTATAGCTTACAAGCCGAACAACAGAACACAACCCACGGTGAAGAGATTCTTCTTAAGTAAATAGCAGTGCTGTAATAAATATTGGGAATATTCGGAAAATATGTCAGTGTAAGGAAGAGATGCTGTTGATCTCTAATCGGTCAAGAGGGTGCAAATATCACGAAATATTGCCCAGGCTCGAAATAAAGATTCGCAGAAAGTAAGAGTTCCGTGGTAGTTGTGTAGGGTATCGTATGGTCGGCCCCTTCCGACTATACTGCTCCGCTCACTGAAATATTGCCCAGGCTCGAAATAAAGATTCGCAGAAAGTAAGAGTTCCGTGGTAGTTGTGTAGGGTATCGTATGGTCGGCCCCTTCCGACTATACTGCTCCGCTCACTGGTTTAAAGATTATATTTTTCTGGGAGAGGTTTTTTTAAAGAATATTTTTTCAGGGACCAGTAAGATGTATATTTTCTAGAGAATATTTTTTCAGGGATCAGTAACACGTAGATTTTTAGAAGAATATTTTTCTGGGAACAGTAAGGCGTAGATTTTTTAAAGAATATTCTTTCAGGGACCAATAAGGCGTAGATTTTTATGGGAACATTAAAGCGCGAATTTTTTAAAGTGTGTTTTAATTAAAGTTTTCTAAAGGGCCAATTTAGGTGTGGATTTTTAAAGAATATTTTTTCAAGGGTCGTTTTAGGACCAATAGAAGCATTGAATTTGTATACCCTTCACCACACTCTGGTATAGGGGTATTATGTCTTTATGCATATGTTTGTAACAGGCAAAAGGAAACGAGATAGACACATGGTTCCGTTTGAGAATATGCATACAATCACTTTTTAAGTAGATTTACGCATGTCCGTCCGTCTGTCTGCCCATGTTAAATTGTAAACAAAGTACATGTCGCATTTATGATCCGGATTGGGTGAAATTTGGCATAGGTCACTTATTTGGTCCAAGGACGAACCCTATTGAAATTGGGAAAAATCGGTTCAGATTTTTATATAGCCCCATATATATTTTCGTCCGATTTTAGGTAAATAGTGCACCAAAGCCCCTAAATATGCTTCGATTTGCACGAAATTTGGCATAGCTTACTGAACTAAGTCTAGAATGATGTGTGTTAAATTTCGTAAAAATCGGTTCAGATTTAGACATAGCTCCCATATATATTTTCGTCCGTTTTTAGATAAATGGTGCACCAAAGTCCCTACATATGCTTCGATTTGCGCGAAATTTGGCATAGCGTACTGAAATAAAGCTAGAATGATGTGTGCTGAAATTCGTAAAAATCTGTTCAGATTTAGATATAGCTGCCATATATATTATATGCACCAAAGTCCCCATATATCTTTCGATTTGCATGAAATTTGGCATAGCGTACTGAATTAAGTCTACAATGAAATTTGCTAAGTTTCTTGAAAATCGGTTCCGATTTAGATATATATATATATATATATTTGCCCGATTTAATTAAAATACTGCACAAAATTCCCTATGCACCCTTCGATTTGCACGAATTTTGGCATAGCGCATTTAATTGAGTCTGGAATAATAACTGGTAAGTTTCGTGAAAATCTGTTCAGATTTACATATAGCTCCCATATATATTTTTGTCCGATTTTAGGTAAATAGTGCACCAATGTCCCTATATATCCTTGGATTTGCTGGAAATTTGGCATAGCTTACTGAATGAAGTCTTGAGTGATTTGTGTTTAGTTTTGTGAAAATCGGTTATGATTTAGATATAGCTCACATATATATTTTCGTCCGATTTAATGTAAATGCTGCACCAAAGTTGTGCATTAACGACCCATATTTTGTACGATTGGCACACAATTTTGTACAATGTCCTGAAGCTAATATAAATTAATCTTTGGCAAGATTCGTTGAAATCGGTTTAGATTTAGATATAGCTCCCATATATATATATATATATTTATATATACATATTCGTCAGATTTTAGGTAAACGGTGCAACAAATTCGCAATGTTTGTCCGATTGAGACGGAATTTTTCACAACAAATTGAGACTAGAATGGCGTTATTGCGTTTTGTTGAAATTGGCATAACATCCACATATATTTCAAACGGGTCTGATTGAGATTAAATGCCGAACAGAGGATCGTACCAAATAACGTTTATCAAGTTTGCTATATAAATCAATTGACATAAATTTGTCCCATTGTACGCAAACGACACTGAATCAGCCCGAATGAAATTGAATTTGTCATAAGCTGTTGATATGCATGTGCATGGAATGATGTTAGTCGGTTTACTTATAGATTAAGATCACACATTTAAGTTCGTCAAATGTCATATAAATGTTCCTTCGAAAAGGCGACGTCTGTTAGGATACATATGTAGATTATAACCAAAATGGTGAACGACATCATACAATCGGCCTAGTCCGACTTTACAACTTTCCTTACTGTTTTTAAATGTCGATTTCTTAAAGAATATTTTTTTCCCAAAGAAATGTGTTTTTTTATTAAAAACATGACTACATCACTCAATTAAATTGATCCATCTCTAACATTTTAATTAAACCAGTATTAACCCTAACTAAACCATAATACCTGTTATTAATCTTTTGACTTGTACCAAATATGATCAAGGTCGCTTAGATGATTTGTACACTCCTCCAAAGTAGTGACATCTAACCATGCATCTGTTTTGCTTTTGCTGCATTTATTCAGACAAATCACCTTGACCATAAACTTTATCTCTTAAACGAAAGAAAAAAAAAACAAAATTGAAAAAAAAACATTGGACAAATTCGGCAAAAGCTACACTGAAATGCACAACAAAAAGGCGAACATAATGGAAACGCCACACAAACACAGACAACTGTCATGTGTTATTCGCTCAAGTTAAATGTAAAATGTTCTGAGTTAAAATTCTGAGCGATTTATTTATTTTTTTTTTTTAATTCACGACAAGTGGTTAAGTTGAATACAACTCATAAATAATTATGGCTTAAAAAATATACCTTGTTGTGTGCGAAACCAGTTTGATGAACCTCAGGCGGGCGAGTCAGTTGTGAATGTTGCTGGCAACGTTCGACGTCATCAATGGCAAATAACCCAAGTAAAATATTTGAAGAAAATATTAAAGTATGTGGAATTAAGAGGTGTGAACAATTACTTACTATTCGAAATTTATAAACACTCAAAATTTCGAGTATAACTAATCTGTAGTTTATCACGACTGAAATTAAATGGTGAAACTTTTTCTGAACTTTTTGAAACATTTTCCACATTACTAGTTCAAAATTTTCCCGCAATAAATCCATTTTTAACATATTCCTTATCTTATTTGGTCATATCTTCTTCGTGAATAACATTCAATATAGCCTATAGATATCATCAGACCGATTTCAAATCCAAAAGTTTCTTATGGGGATAAAAGCCCTTGGAGAGTATATTAAGAACCCTAAAGGGTAAATTCGCCACAAGGAAGCTTTTGAGTTATAACTTCACAATTTTTTTTTTGAGATGGCATAAATCTGTCAAACTGAATGAGAAATATTTTTTTTTAAAATTGTCATCCTATATCGATCCCTTATTTTAGTCCCTATTTTCTTCTCCCTTAAATACCACAGAGGAGATATTTTGACCTCCAAATAATCTGCAAAAAATGTGGCTCATTCAATTTTAGTTAGTGTCCTCAATTACAAGAAATTAATATACGAATTTTATCAAAGTCCATTGTAATTCGAGA